AACATGGTAGAATCAATGAATTCCGTTTTACTAAAAGGGAGAGAAATGCCTATTTTAAGAATGTTAGATTTCATCCAAGAAAAGCTGGGAGAGTGGTTTTATGAACGGAGAAAAAAGGCAAATGAAACTTTTCACAGAGTATCAATATGGGCAGAAGAAGAGATGACTAAGAAGATGGACTTGGCTTGCAAAATGTTTGTGAGTATATTTGTTAACTTCAGCTTTTTAGATCTGTTGCAGTGATTTACTGCTTACATTTAAAAAATTTCATACTTTTTTGTTTTGAAGGAAAAATACAGTAATATAATTTGTTTTAATTTTTTATTCCTTGTTAGGTGTTCAACCTTGACTCAATGTTGTTTAGAATAATTAGTGAAGGAATCGAATTCATTGTGGACTTAAAGAAGAGAACTTGTGACTGCCTGGAATTCCAACTTGATGAATTGCCCTGTCCACATGCAATTGCTGCTATTAATAAGAGATATTTGCAGAAATCTGATTACTGCTCAAATTGGTATTCAACGGAAACATGGTTGAAAACATATGAAGGGCATGTGAATACCGTGGGAGATCAACAATCATGGGAAATACCAGAAAATGTACAATCTGAAATCACAAAACCTCCCGATATAGAGATTTTACAAGGAAGAAGACAAAAGAAGAGGCATATACCTGCGACTGAATCATCAGTACCATTCAAGTCTACCAAATGCAGTAGATGTAAACAAGTGGGGCATAACAGAACAACTTGCTTGTCTTCTCCAGCACCTCATCCATATTCCAAGAAACACACTGAAAAATACTCCAAGCTTCAATAATCCTTGGTCTGAATTTAGACTTTCTTTATTGTATGACATAATTCAAATGTGATTTTTTTAATAGGAATAAAAAAAATAAGCTCTTGCACAATTTTATATTACTGCTAAAATACAAATCACTCATTTTTGTTGCGCAGGCTTACAGGTTTGGTTGCATTTTAAAAACGTACGCAATGACTTCTGCGAGAAAAAACTTCAGGTTGCTGTATGTTAAATACATATTCTTAATCAAAAACACACACACACACCTACAAAAACTCACACAGACACACATACGCATACAACACACAAAAAGAAAAGCATGTACAAACAAAAGTTGTAGCATCTCTAAGCAACTAAGAAGTATAAATCAAATACCAACAAATAACAAGTATAATGCAATAGAAAGCTAAGAACAAAGAGGGTCACAATTATATTGACATAAAAAGAGGTGAAAACAACACACATATTTCAAAACTTCAGCTCTCTCGACTGAAGTTATACAAAATGAAGCTAAAAAAACTTCAGCTCTATGGGCTGAAGTTAACAAAAAAAACACTAACAATCACCACCATTATCATCATCACCCTCATCATCGTCATCATCGTCGTCGTCATCATCATCATCATCACTCCTCAATTTCTCTAAATATCTGATCATCATCACTGTCGGAGATAACTATAGGGCAGTCGGGCAAAAGACCACTCAATCCAAGAAGATCAATCTTCAACTTGTCGAATTTATCACGTAGCTGACTTTGTTCGACGATTACTCTGTCCATAAGAGGAAGAAGAATCTTCAGCTTGTTTTGCAGCTTGGAATAGTCGGTCAAGCTGGGAAACTTAAAACTATCAAACTGCTGCACAACCTTGTCGAACGAGGTTGAATAATCTCCACAACTACGTTCCAGGTTAAGCCTGTTCTGGAATGATTCATTTGCACAGAGCTTTGGTCTGATTCTCTCCCAATCAGCCTTTATTTCATTCCACAAAAGAATAAGATTAGCCATCGGTTTGTTATTGTACCATTCACACTTCAAACTCTCCCACTTCTTCATAATTTCATACATATTAGGCTTACCACTTACGCTTGCACCAGACATTTTTTCTTTAACAAATGCTGAAAGACTAAGGAATATGATAGAAGTCTATGAATGACTATGAAATTTTCAAGTGAAGAGATTGTTAATATAGACAAAGAGTTCACCTAATTAATTTAATATCTATAAATGTAAAAGTAACTTTTCAGCTGTTTTTACTGTTTTACGTTCAGAGAAATTGAATGAGACAAGATTAGTAGGTGGTAAAAACAAGTATGTAGTAAATGCAAAAAGAAATATAACTTCAGCCCTTGTAAAACCCACAGTTTTTATATAGTAAAAAAATAACTTCAGCCTGAAAAAATAAATTTTACTATATAGTGAAACAAATTTAAATGAAAGATGAAGTAGTTGACAAAAGACAAAAAGTAGACAGTAAATGCAAAAAAGATAAGTATCAACTTAAAAAATATCAAAATATGCTAAAGTTTTTTTACTAAAGCTTTTTCGAAAAACTTCGGCCCAATAGGCTGAAGTTTTTTAGTATATTTTCAAAAACTTCAGCACTTGGCAGCTGAAGTTTTTTGTTGGATTCAATAGTATTTGTCCTAAGGTTTTTCGAAAAACTTCGGCCCAATAGGCTGAAGTTTTTAGTATATTTTCAAAAACTTCGGCCAAGCAGCTGAAGTTTTTTTGTTATTACTGAAAAACTTCAGCAGGAGGCTAGTACGTTTCCAC